GATAGATGTCAATTTATCTTTAGAACTATTTTAAAAGGATCGCCATCTTTACTTCTCTTCTTAACTTGTCCACGTAAAGATTTTTGAGCCAAAATTCATAAATGTTGTATGCATTTACTTAAATTTACAAAAATACGATGAGAGTTCTTTATGAATAAATCTGCCTTATCGTTCATAGTGAAAGAGAATCAAACAATCTTCAACGTTTATTCAACAAATTGAATCGACACTAAGACAATTTTTCAGAACTTAGTTTGTGGTCGAGTTTCAATCCACTTCTTTAAGATGGGATTCGAACGAACCTTTTCGGCATGAGCTTTCATCTGAAAGCCAATGTTTACTCACAATTATAATAAGTTAATGAAAAAGAATCACCTCTGGGAACCCATCAAAAAGTCCTGGGATCTTTTTGGCAAATTCAGAAAAGTACTCAGCGAGATATAGATCAGCAAAGGTAAGTGAATCTCCAACGAGATAGCCTAAAAGCTTTGAAAAAAAGAATTAGTCAAAGCCATGGAAATCTCTATTATCAATCACACCTGACTTGTTCTTCTTAAGGAACTTTGTCATATATCCAAAAAACTTGTCGCGAGCCGGAAGGAAAATTTCCTTGGTTAGTTTGTCCTGTAAATGTTTTGTGAGCATCACATTCTTTACGATGAATTCATGTAAAAGCTCAATCCTTTCGTTAGCACATATAATGCAACATTTATCAGTAAATTGTTAGTTCGCCAAAATTTTACTAGGAAAACATTCGTTAAAGCGATAAGTTAATCGATAACGCGATTGCATTTTTCTTTACTTGTCGCTAATCTTCTTCCTGAGAATCCATAAAATGTTCTAGCTTTTCTTTTGAGTAGATTATTCAACAAAGGAGAATCGTATTCTCAGCTTACCAAATCCCCTTCTTCAAAACCCAGGGCGACCTTTACCATTGGTTGGATTTCTTTCATAAAATCCTTCCACTGATCGGCAATCGAGTCTACGAGAGCCTCCTCAAACGGAGTTTTGCCAGCAAATCCTTGAAATAAAGTATCAAAAAGAATCTCGCTTTTTCCTTATTCGGCACCCACCAAACTTTCTGGAGAGGAAACGGACAATTGCAAACGACTGTGCGAGCTGCTGACCGTCAACCTCCAGCACTGGCACTTGGCCAAATGGCATTTCTAGAGAAAAAGCGGAAATGAGCTATTGTTTTAAATTTATTATATGGAGAACTCACCAGCCTTATGCTTCGGCCACTCTTCTTGTGTAAGCCGAACATCCTCAAAGTCTTGACCAGCAAGGACAAAAACCTGACATACGTACCGATGAGTGATTTGTTAGTTCAGGTGACTAAAAAATAATAGTCTATACCTGACGTATGATTTCTGCAGCACCGCGACCATCAAAGTAGGTGAGTTTGTAGTGAACCATTCTGAGAATTTTCACTTTTAATGTTTGTACACTATCACGCAAAGTATTGGTTAACAATGCGAAGTAATGCAATGAAAAGATCAGAATAAAAGATTATTCCAGCAAACTACTGCGGGTAGTGGTGGTAGCACTAAAAGCAGGTCAAAACATTTAAGAAAATTAGTAGGATCATGAGAAGTAATAGACTGCCGCCATCAACACGACATAGAAGTAAGTGGCACGAAGGGTTCCTCGATATAACAGCTTTAGTTTTTTTTTTTTTAAATGCAGAAACTATGTCGATGTTACCTTTTAATGAGTTGTAGTAGAATTTTAGGGTTCCATTCTTTATTTATATCTTTATATATTTTTTCAAGAAATGTCGCTGTTGTGAAAGCAGTTTTTACAGCTAAAGCTAACATTGAAGTATACAGTAGGGTCTATCTAGAGATCAATTATTAATAGCGCTATGTCTAAACGGCAGTTGTCGATAATTCTTTCCACCATAGCATAGTGGTTCTTA